AAAAAATTTTTGATAATAAAGAAATATGTGAATGATAGACAATTATTATTACCTATGGATGAAACTAAAATAAAATCTTAAATCGTTCTTTAATCTATTCAAATTATATAATTTTAAAATCTATAATAAGTTTATATTTCTCTTATAAATAATTTGTGATGTGAAAGAAATATGTGAATGATAGCAAAATATAATTATTTATGGCTGTAAAATATAAATTAATTAACTTTTATCATGTTAACAGCTTTTAAGGATATTTCAGACATTTTGATTTAAAAAGCTGTTTATCAACACTTATTTGCCAAACACATCAACAACTTTTTTTTAACTTCAGCACTTTTATCCAAACGCATAACTGCTTATTTTAAAAATAAGTTTCAGCACTTTCAAAAGTACTTTTTTAAAGCTGCTTTAATTAAGCCCATCCAAACGGGCCCAAAGTGGGAGTGTAGTGTAAGCTTAAATTCTATAATGAAGCAGAGCACATAGTTTAAGAGACAGTGAAACTTACATAAAATCGATAAAGCTCCCTTGCATTCTATCAAAATACGGTTGAAGGTCTACCGCAATCTCATCATCATCAGAATCAGATTCATTGGAACCTTAAGAAAACAAACAAAAGGAAGAAAATTATTTACTGAAACACCAACTTGTAACAAAACAAAGAAAATATGTAATATGTGTAGAATGATTTACCTTCTTGACCACAAAGCCAATCTTTAGTACATAACTTTGCCTCAGCATTTGCAGGTAAAATAGAGCTTGAATATTTACCAATAATACGACCTCCAATGCTAAAGGTAGATTCAGAGGCTACTGTGGTAATAGGTATGCTCAAGACATCCCTTGCCATCAATGAGAGTTCGGGATACCTTCGTTTATTTTCCTTCCAATTGGTAAGTACATCCAGGTCTGAATGTACTTTACGGTCAAGATTGGGCTCCTCCAAATACAAATCCTGTTGTGTTTTAGTTTTACCACACCCCAACTGATAATCAAACGTATCGAAACTCCTCAAGTTCATCCCTTATTTCATTACTAGTTTCCACCGACAAGGACATTGTGGTCGAAGGTACATAGTATTCTTTGAATAGAATATGCAAATTATCTTCAACGACTTAAACCTTTTCTTCAACCGTCTCAAGATCAATTTTACAAAAATAAATTTCACAAATTTAAGCTTATATCGAGGATCAAGAACAATGGCTAGTGATAAGATCACACTGTAAGACTTCCAATATCTTTTGAACTTCTTTAACATCAATGTAGCCATTTCACTCATCACTGGATCAAAGCTATCTTTTTCTTCCTCTAAATGTTAGGTTGTGAAGCCTGATTAATATTTGATGTACTGCAGAGTGTTAGTATACCATAGAAGGACTTAAAATGGCTAAACTATGAAAACTAGGTGAAAAACGCCGATTCGGACGCGCCGTGCCAGCCCTAAGTGACTGGGTCTCATTTTGGGTGCACTGTAAGCGCGCCGCCCTAGCCTTCCTGGCGCTATGGGGGTGTGACGCGCTTGGCCCTGTCAAGGTGAGTCTGACCAATTTTTCAACTCGTTTTGTGATCACAAATCCTCTAAACCCCTAGTGTTCTTCTCCCAAACACTTAAAATCCTTAATACCTCCAATACCCAAATGATCTAACTCAAAAAACAGCTCTGAGATACTAGTCAACATCAATGGGCATTCAAACAACTCAACCAATAGGGGTTTGACAAGATTAATCAAAATTCACTTCTTAACATGTAAGCAATTCTAAACCCACTGAATTGAAACAAATTTGGTATGTGGATGAATTAATCCAATACGAAAGATCTCACATACCTTGATAGGGATCATCTCCGACGAATTCCCCAGAAATTCCTTAGCATTCTTGGAGAATCCTTGATATTTACCCCTTTTCCTTCTTCTCTTCTCTTTTCTCCAAGCCATAAGCAAAATATAACTTTTATAAGCTGAACTTGAACTTTTTTTTACCCCAAATAAATCCCTAAAATGAAATAGGAAATAAATATAACACTTTCGAATTTCAATGACATAGTCTAGAGACTCACTTGATGAACTAAGACTTAAAATAGTTTTTCTAAGCTTGAAAAAGTTAATAAACTCAATTAGGAAATTTTAGAGTCAAAACATCAAGAGGCGACCATGACGTACGGAGATTTGTGAAAAATGAACTAGTGTACCTTGGTGTATTTCATGGGGGTTTAATAGTCCGAATTAAGTCAAATTTGGTAAAAAGTTAAAAAATACATGTTAAGACGTGTTTAGGGTCAAAAAATTTGGGTAAGACTCCCCAAGGACGACCCTAAGGTTCCTTGAAGAGAACCCTACATTTGGACCTTAAAACTGTCAAATGGCAGTGTGCCATTGACAGAACCAAATGATGAGCCGTCGATGGAACAATGGCCCATCAATGGTGCTCGTGGGTGGGGACCTATACATATTCCAAAATGTATCAAAAAGGAGGTCTTAGATCCAAACCACGAATGGCCAGGACGGTTCGTGGTTTGGACTACGCCCCGCCGA